GTCAATGATTCGAGTCAATGCCCCTCCATCTCCAAAAACATCTAGTGAGAGCTACCTCTTCATACTGTATGCACTGAGGCATCTACAGCATGTCACTTTCATTAATCCCACCATACATACAGATTGCTTTAAGTAGCGTTAAAACATGAATGCATAAATAAATAAAAGTAATAACTGTACCCAAAGTCACTGAAGGAGCGGATGTGGACAAGGGTTTGAGATGGGCATGGTGGGGACGAGAAAAATCTTTTTTTCATTTTCTGACCTTATGTACTGTATGTGCTTATTGTCTTTTCTGTCTTTGTGGTCATGTATGTAATTTTAGTTTTATAACCGGACCCCCTTCGAAAAAGAGATGATTCATCTCAAGGGGCCATCCACAATAAATAAATACAACACTTTTTTTTTGTTTACACTACTTCTATTTGTTAGTTGCGTAATTTAACTAGCACTTCCTCTAAGCTGCTTTGAACCAGTCCAGAACCTATCCAGGATCACTCCAGAACCAGTACCCTGGGCTTTAAGTAGTAGTAAGTAATCTTTATTTATATACCGCCTTTCACAGACCAGAGTCACAAAGCGATTTACAATTGTTATTTTTGGGCACTTGTCTCTCACTCCACACAGAGATGGGAGTGGGGCGAATAGGAGGCGCATGCCAGACCTATTGTACATATTTTTAGTGGTAGGGGAAAGAGGAGTACCCGGAGGAAACCTACGCAGACACAGGGAGAACATGCAAACTCCACTCAAAAAGGCCCTGGTCCGACCGGGATTCGAACCAAGGATCTTCTTGCTGAGAGGCAGTGCTATCCACTCAGCCACCGTGCCGCCCTTTAACCGTCATAGAATGTTGGCAGTGACCGAAAAATTGTGTCATTTTAAATTTACTTTGAATTGAAAGACTACAAGACTGTTCTGGGAGTTAAAGGTAGAACTACTCACATTTCAAAAAGATAATTTCATGAAATGAATTACTTGAATAAACTACATACAATTACACAAGTCACAAAGTGAAGAAGACCATAAACAAAAGAAGACATAAGCCGAGTGATTACACTTCCAAAATTAAAATCACTCTGGGAGTTCTAGTTTTAAAGACATCAACCGATTCTCTACAATATGATGATCTTGACCCCCATGGCCCTTCATTACACATATGGATCATATACAATGTTTAAATTGGGCAAACACAATATAGAAGAACCTCTTGTGCCACATAGCCCTGCCCCTTTGAGGAAGTGTCAGTGAGATGAGGCCCATCTCCTCCAGACTATAATGTACTTGAGGGGAGAACAATGACGGCGAGCATATATGAGGATAAACTGAGAAAATGTGATTGTTGTTCAAAAGTCCTAAGGATCCAAAAAGTGGCTTGAGACTGAATGGAAAGAAAAAAGAAGAGAGTTTCACCTTACAATGTGAAACTAATATATGGCAGACTAATTACACACAAAGTGAGATAATCATCCATTTTCTTTTGCTTCATCCGTTGCCATCCGTTGCCGGTTTGCGGGAACAACAGACTTTCACAACAGCAGACATTCCGACTTCCCTATTCACACATGCTTCTTTCCAGCTCTTTCAGGGGAAAATTGAGGAGTTCCCAGGCCAGATGAGAGACACAGCGTGTCCTTGGTCTGGTGCAATCAATCGGGGTCTCCTTCCAGCAGAACACCTCCCCAGGGAGGCGTCCAGGAGGCATCCGAAACAGATGCCTGAGCCACCTCAACTGGTTCCTCTCAATGTGGAGTAGCAGAGGCTCTACTCCGAGCTCCTCCCATGTGACTGAGCTCCTCACCCTATCTCTAAGGGAGCGCCCAGCCACTCTGCGGAGGAAAACTCATTATGACCGCTTGTATCCGCGATCTCGTTCTTTCGGTCATTACCCAAAGCTCATGACCATAGGTGAGGGAGGGAACGAAGATTGACCGGTAAATCGAGAGCTTTGCCTTTCGGCTCAGCTCCCTCTTCACCACGATGGTCCGATACAGCGACCGCATCACTGCGCACACTGCACCGATCCGCCTGTCAATCTCACGCTCTATCCTTCCCTCACCTTTTTCAGGTCGAGCACCATGGCCTCAGATTTGAAGCGGATTCTCATCCCCACCACTTCACACTTGTCGGCAAACCGTCCCAGTGCATGTTCTAAAGACAGTGAACAGAACTGATGACAAAGGACAACCTTGGTAGAGGCAAACATGCACCGGGAACAGCTCTGACTTACTGCCGGCAAAGAAAACCCCTCAAAAAGAACACCCCGGGGAAAACGGCCGAATGCCTTCTCCAGGTCTACAAAGCACATGTGGACACGTTGGGGGAACTCTCATAAAGCCTCCAGTATCTATAGAGCTCGCCCAGTGTTCTGAGGCCCAGACGAAAACCACACTGTTCCTCCTGAATCCGAGATTCGACTATTGTTCCTCTGAGGCGCCAGAATCTCTTTGAGGCCAACAAATAGTCCTGCTCCATTGACTCTTCCAACTCCTCCCAGTCCTGCTTTTTTGCCTCAGCAACTGCCCAGGCAGTGGCACGCTTGGCCTGTCGATACTGGACAGCTGCCTCAGGAGTCCCCCGACCCATCATGGCTCGATAGGACTTCTTCATCATCCTGATGGCATCCCTTACTACCAGAGTCTACCACAGGGTTCGGGGGTTGCCGCCTGGACCAGCACTAGAAACCCTGCTACCACAGCTGGTTCAGGAATAGAGGTGGAGTACATGGTCCACTCAGACTCTACGTATATACACGTATTCAAACAAATGTACAAAAAATATATATTCTCGAATTATGAGGCTGAAGATGCCATTCTCTATTTCAGGATTAGTTGTGAATATAATCTTTCTGTGTGTTTTTCCTTAAATGTGGATTGCACAAATGTGTGTGTATGTATGTATGTACTGTATATGTTAAATGTATATGTGTATTTATGTTTGTGTGTAAAATGAGTAAGAGTATTGCATAAAGTGTGTATGTATGTATGTATATGTTAATGTGTTTATGTATATATATGTATGTGTCTGCGTGTGTGTATACAGTTTGTTTTGCTTATGTTTGTGTGCGTGTATGTCAAATGAGCCAGTTTGTGTGTATGTGTATATTTATATGTATATAGTAATGTATGTACATGTAAATATCATAAGCAATATTTATCGGTGATGGGCGTTTTAGTAACAGGGGGTAGGCCCAGGTAAGCTATTCCAGCTTCTGCCAACTCCCTTTTGGGCTATTGTATTTTCTGTGCTTCTCTTTTGTATGATTGTTTTTGTATCTTCCAGATGCCCAAATAAACACACTATCTATCTATCTAAAAAAACACTACAACATGTAATGTACAGTAATTCAGCACGTAGCAACAGGTGGTTAAGCAATGCTTCGGATTGGATTCATTTGCTGACATTATACGTGCTTCTAGGTGTAAGTTTTGTAAATTGTCACATTCTGCAGTTTGAAACATTTCTTATGTTGCAATGTCTAAAAAAGAATATACTCTCCAATATATTGTCTGTCAATTAATCAACGCATTTCACTTTGTTTTAATGTAGTGCAGCGGTTTCCAGAATCTCCCCAGTAATAATTTTCACTTAATATTTCAAAAGAAAACAAAATCTTCAGAATAAACCAAAACATACTAATTTTTAAAACGTGGTATTCATGCAATTTGTAGTTATATCGTTCATGTTCTCAATATTCTTTTGGAGACTGACTCAGTATGGAAGAGCATTTACATTTATACTATTATGTCTTAAGTATTGTGTACAAATAAGACCACAATTGTCTGTCTTAAAAGCACGTTATAATTAGCATACTTGTAGGAAAGCCTTGGGCCGCTGACTGAGGGTGGTCCTCTCTTTTTCACTTTTCTGTCTGAAAAATATATGCGTGCGAAAACTAGTGATAGACCCATGAACTATAGTGCCATGGATTTAAGAATAGTATAGCCATATTTGCCTCTTTTTCTATAATTACTAAACTAATAATTAAAAGACCTAAATTAGAATATAATTTCCAAAACATGAAGGTGTTGCTCAATTTCACTTAGAAATAACAACAATCATTGTGTTCTGTCATTTATTAAAAACATTTGTTCATCTTTGTACATGGACTCCAAATGCATAACATACACACAATGCATTCTCGCATCCTCAAAAAGGCGTTAAAATACTGCTGAAGCATGGGCCACTGCCGGTGTCGGAGAAAGCATCCGTAACAGTTCTCTGGCTATCTGCCTTTTAAGAACTGAACTTCAAGAAGACACCGGAGTGGACTGTCAGCGCACTGCAACAGGGCATTTCTGCATACGATTTGATGACATGGAAATATGAACATGTCTCAATCTGAATGAAATCTCACATGAAATCTCACATGAAAATCCAAGTGATGTGATCGAGTGTTGAAATGACTTTTTGCAGTGCATGCCCACTCAGCCTTATAAACACACACTTACAGTAGAAAAATATAGTGATCACTACTTAATAATCCATTAAAATGAAATCCATTTATCTGTCCAATACAAAAAAATAACTGCTGCAAATAGTAAGGCACTTGCAGCCTCTGTCTGCCTTAAGGCTATGCACAAACATATATGAGGCTTATAACGTTTGTCCCTCTCGGGGTTCAGCCAAAGAGCGTCAGATGCGTCATGAGGGGTTTCCATAGAGATGAGGCTTTGGGAGAGCAGCTGTTCGTCTGGACGTGACCGAAATGAGTTGCATAGACATAGACAAACTGAGAGCGGGGGACACGCGTGACGTGATGATGATGATTTTCAACAGAACAGTCTTCTGTCCCGGACCAGTGAAGATGGAGATGTCTTTAGGAGGATGTGTTGATACAGACCTGTGCTCCTGTGAGCTCGGCTCAGCTCAGATATGATCTGTATCAAATTGTGTCCCACAGTCCCTGTACACGCACATTCTCCAGGTGCCTCGCCTCTGCTCCTGGGGAACCTCAGATTGAATGTTATCGTGTATAACGTGTATGAAGTCTATAGTCCTTACACATGGAGCACGGCCGGGCGCAGGCTGCCCCGGTACTCCTCCAGCCAGTGTCTGAGCTCAGAGATGCGGTATCCCTCTGGGCCCCTGCCTCCCTGATAAACCACCTGTGCGTCCCGCACCACGTACAGACGCTCGAAGTAGGCTCCATACGCGGCGTTGGACGAGTTGTCCATGCTGTCCACCACCACGCTGCTCGCGGGCAGCTCAGACAGCATGAGGCGCGCGGCGCGGAGCCGGTCCTCCAGGCACTGGTGCTTGGGGATCTGGTACGGGGCGTCAGTGCTCATCCAGCCGTCAGACGGGTGCGCCTCTTCGATGTACACCACCAGAAAGTCTGCGATGTCCGCGAACTGCCTCACGAGCTTCTGGAACACGGCCAGGCGCGTCATGAACGGGGGTCAGGAGCATGAGCCGAAGTTCAGCACCAGAGGTCTCTTCCCTTTGACACAGTCAAGCAGACGCACGCGCCTGCGCTCGTGCACGAGCACCACCTCCGTGTTGGGCGCAGTGTGTCCGAGATGCGCGGATTTCAGAAAGTCCAGTTTGTGTCCGTACCATACCGCGCACAAAGACTCCACTGTAAACATCCTGTTGGCGTCCGACACGCACACGGGCGGGTCGTCCGCGTCCTGCGCCTGTCCCATCTTCAGCAGCAGTTTCCTCCGGATGCACAGGAAGTCCAACAGCCACAGCATCACTGCCGCCAGCAGAAAACGCGGCAGCAGCAGCAGGCAGAGCGCGGCGTGCTTCAGCGCCCGTGCAACGGCGACCCCCCCGGAGTCCTGCATCCTCCCGGTGCCTGCGGGGGTTAGGGGTGCATGGAGACTGGAGTCTGTGACAAGAGCAGTCGGTAGCCCTAACACAGGATCATACAGACTGCTGAGCGCACACACTGATGTCTATCTCACAAAGAAGGGCGCACGGAGACTGTCCCTCTTCCTCCTGAAAAATGTTCAGTGTGCTGCGCGGACACAGTTTTTATAGCAGGTACAGCTGGTTTGAGTGGTGAAAAAATAGGAGAAAAGACAAAACACGCCTCTAGCGGGACGCCGCCCCCTCACATGGTGGGGATTACCTCCTGTAAACTCTGAGTGCGGACAGAGGCGCCCAGGCTGTGGAAGTGACTGAGAAAGGCTTTCACTGTGTCAACTCTCTGAGCTTCATATTGCAGCTTCCTGCAGTGTCGCGAGGCGGCGTTTTTTTCCTCTAAAGATCAGCATGAGTCACTGATAAAGAGTTGAACCTGGGATGTGTTCATCTTTGCACTGATATGACTTGTTTGTATACAACAATACTGTAAAGCACGTGTTGTCAGAGTCATGCTGTGTGTGTGTGTGTGTGTGTACATGCAGGTGTGCCACGCACATACACATGTGTCATCTTCTAAAAGTATGTAGATAGCCAAAGGAAACAACAGTGTAAGGGAAACAGGTGGACCTTTACCGTATCATGCAGTGTTTCCTGTTCTTCGTGTGACTGTGTGACAAATGCAGGTTCTGTGATGTTGTAAACAGTAGAAATCTGGACACCTTTCACTGACTATTGATTCTGGCGGGAACATAATCTACATTCACTTGATAATTCATTCTGCCCCAGTCGACCAACCAACCACAGGACAGCATTGTGCTCTTGAATCTGGTTCAAAACATGGCTCCTGGCCCAAGGCGTGTCAACGCTATGAGGTGAAGTTCTCCCAACCAGGTCTCTTTGGAAGCTGTAGTCTCTAACCTGTAGCTCCGGAGCTATCTGTATTTTTCAAGCCCCTTTCTGATAGCTTGAATTATTTAATACATTTTGGGTCAATACATATCTATGTATAAATATAGGGTTATACAGTATTATGGTATATCATACATGTGTACTCCATGTTTTGTAATTATTAAATAAATGATTATTACAACTTTTGCATGAAAGTAGCTCTATGATCTAAACAAAACAAAAAATGGTTGGAGACCCTTGCTGTAGGTTATTAAAGTTTGTGCTTCTGAGGAGCCAACCTATAGACAAAAAGTAAATATTATATATTAATAATTATTAATATTTATATACTAAAATAATTATCTCTTTAGCATTATTTCTAGAACATGATGGTGATAGTTTATCATGTTTGAGTGTTGCAAACATATCCCCAGCATTCTTTAGAGTTTTGTGACTTCTGTGACTTCAGACTCTGCTGCACAGAGCTCCTAACACAGGAGCTCTGTGTTTATGCTCTGTGCTAATGCTGATTCCCTCCCCACTCTTTTATTTTATTTTATTAGACAGTCCTCAGCCCTATCCACAATAAAGGCATTATTCCACTTAAATGTCCAGGCAAAATTCTATCATAAAGCACTGGAAGGTCACGCAACACGATTTGACTGCAAATAAAATATTCACACAAAATAAAAGAGGGAACTATTGCATTAATCAGAATCAGAATCAGAATCATTTTTATTGCCATGTAAGTAACAGTAATTAATACGTATATTGTAAGTCCTGAATGTGTAATATTTTTACAATATGTTTTGAGTCTCGGCAAACGTGGTCAAATAGTGATTTTAAACAATAATTTAACAGTCCATTAATCATATAATACATTCCAACACATTTGAGATTTATACAGCAGCGAGGTAGGAGTCCTGCAACAGGGTTTCATGTGACAGGACCTCACAACTGCACCAAATTTCTACATTGAAAGCTGAAGAAGAGTCTCTACGTGAACATACAAGTGTGGAGTGGTGAGGGCTTGTGTTCTCAGTGTGTCCTGCTCCAGTCTCCTTCCATCTTCAGCCTATCATAACTCCCAGGATCCACATCTACATCTACCTCCCAAGTCTCAATGCACCTACTTCTTCAATTTGATTCTGTAACCTGCGTTATTGGGTCTGTCAGTCTGTTTGTCATAACATGTAGACAAAGTGTATTTACTTGGAACTGAGAAAACAGACATTATCACAACCCACTTCTCATTTCTCTGGCTGTCGCCAAGAAAGTCATGCTTCAAAACTGGAAAAACAATAAAGCATGTAACATAAAACACTGGCTCAATGCCATCTCGGATCACATGCGACAGCAACAACAAAGTGCTATAAAACAGAATTATACATCAGCCTTTCAGGAAACACGGAAACACTTCATTAATCACTTATAATAACTCTTTACAATACAATTATATTCTCCACTGATACAAAAGCGCCACATGTACATCCAAAAATGATAATGAAGGGGGAAAGGAGAGAAGGGAAAAATACATAAATAAAACATAATAATTAATTAATGAATAGTGTGTATGTGTGGGTGTGCGTGTGTGTGAGTTTGTGTGTAGATGATTTGTGTATTGAAGAACTAGTAACAATATTAACAATAGCAGTGATGATGATAATAATAATAATATTCATAATATTAATTATATTACTACATTATATTCCTTATCATTGTTTATATATCTACTATCGGGGCGACAGTAGCTCAGTTGGTAGAGCATTGGCCTTTGGGCCTGAAGGTCGTGGGTTCGAGCCCACCGTAAGATCTACATCACGACTCCCACTGATGACTGCTGTCGTCGTGTCCTTGGGCAAGACACTTAACCCCACTTTGCCTGAAGCCCCCACTGAAAGATCTCAGCTGCTGTGGACTCACCACCTGCAGGAGGATCAGTGAGGGGCTGGTGCTCTGTGTACTGGGTGCAGCTCTGACTGCCACCCCCCGACCCAGAAATGGATTAAGGGGAAGAAAATGGATGGATGGATGGATGTTTATATATCTTCGGAACTAACTATTTGAACTAATTAAATCTAAGAGTGGGGGTGGTTGGGTGTGGGGTCCGGACCTGCTCTGCTCCCTCTCCTCTCAGTCTCGTCCCTCCAGTACCCGTCACACCGGCCAAAGAATGCTCTTTTTTTAACGCAACACTACACTAGTCAGGCCGAACACAGCGCACACTAAGAGTAGGGTAAGCTCAATAATTATTTTAATGCACTTCATTAAACTAGGGGAAAAAGAGAAAAGAAAACCTTTTCACAAATCTGTAAAAATAGCGAATGCACATGGAACTGGTGTCCTGGGGCGTGCTGGAGGAGATGTACTCTGGGGGCCTGGGGGGGTCTATATCTAGGCAAGGCAAGGCAAATTTATTTTTATAGCACAATTCATACACAAGGTAACTCAAAGTGCTGAACAAAACAAGAAAGCATTAAAAACATAAATAATCACAGTACATTAAAAAGAAATATATACATATAAAATATACAATCCCTCAGTTGTATGCACAGCTGAACAGAACTGTTTTCAACCTTGTCTTAAACATTGTCAGAGAGGAGGCCTGTCTCACATCTTCAGGAAGATTGTTCCAGATTTTAGCAGCATGAATCTGAAAAGCAGCCTCCCCATGTTTAGTTCTGACTCTGGGCACTAACAGGAGTCCAGTCCCTGTGCTCCTCAGAGTCCGGGCTGGTTCATATGGGACTAACATGTCACTAATATATTTTGGTGCGAGGCCATGGAGAGACTTGTACACAAGCAGAGCTGTTTTAAAGTCTATTCTCTGAGCCACAGGAAGCCAGTGCAGAGACCTGAGGACCGGACTAATGTGGTCGTACTTCCTGGTTCTAGTCAGGACTCGAGCTGCTGCATTTTGAATGCACTGCAGCTGTTTTACAGCCTGTTTGGACAGACAATGTGTATATATTGTTATTCATATATTTATGCTTCCTTTCTCCCTACCTAAAGAATCATTTCCCCCCCCATCAACCCTTTTACCGCCTATACCTGCCTGTATGTTTAGCTGTACCACTATGTCCACCTCTATGTCTATCTGTATCCCTACCGGTATATTTACACGTATGTCTACCTGAATGTCCATGTATCTCTACGTGTCATTGATGTTGTTTTGTATGTCCTTTTTTTCTTTGCAAAAAAATAGAAAACAGACATTAAAGCTGGATACATCACCAAACAGCTCAGGTATCACCGTGATATTTCTAATGCATGTAACCACAAAATGGAAACAGAGAGATCCGGATGATATTTAAGTCCTGGAAGTTTTGTGGCCTCAAGATCTTCTTCACCCAGTCTCCAGTCCTTCTGTCTTTTTTCTATTACCTTAATTACCATTACTTTGAACAGGGTGTGTTCAAGTGGCCAGCACTGTTGAATTGTGGTAGTTTTGGTTTCAGGCTCTATTTGAATATTTGTGTTCAGTAGTCCTTCAATCTCCTTTTGGGCATTCCCACATATCATTGAAGGTGCTAGTTTTTTCAAAGTTCATGCATTGGTCACAGGACCCACATGGAGTAGTTCTTGCAGGATTGGGAAAATGGACTTTAGTTGAGGTCCTGGAAGATGAAAACAGTTTTTTAGGGTGGGAGTTTGATGACAACAGAGGGCAAGCCGCTCCAAAGAATATCTCAGTTACTTTTATAGATGTGTTTAAGTTAGGTTACAAAAAAACAGAAGGGTTAGGGATAGGGATTGGGTGAAGAAACTGGCTCAGTGAGAAACTTTGGATCAGCTTGAACTATTTGGTACATTGACCTCTTGCACTTATTTATATGTGCCTATTTGTGAATTTCACCGTTGTCTTCAATTAGCACAGACAATTTTAGATTTAGATCTATAGCAAAAAATATTTCACATTTACAAATAACGTACAGCAATTGTTTGGGGCAATAATGGGATGTAACATGTTCAAAATATTGAATAATTATCAATGGGTCAAGATTAAAAATATATAATCTTGACCCATTGTGCTTGTATTTAAGTTGTTGTGTGTATATTTGTATGAGAATCTCTTCCCATAAGTGTGGAG